CGTTTGTTTTTATGCGCCGTAGGGGGTGACCGTGATAAAGCGGACGGCGTGGGCCTCCACCCTCTTGCCCAGGAACCCGACAGCCCACACGCCCTGATTCTCGTGCTTCCACAAGTCGCGCACCAACGCCTTCTTGTTCCCGGCCTGTTGCATTGCCTGCTGGTGTGAGCCATACAGTTGTGTGCCGTTGTGTCGCGTCGCGTGTGCGGTGGTGCGTGTGCGTGTGCGTGTGCGTGTGCGGTGGTGGGCGTGTCGCGCGCGAGAGAGAGACGCACCGGCCAGCCACGGATCTGGTCCCAGGAGACGGGGATGTCGACGGACTCGAAGAAGTTGGGGTTGTACAGGATCACGGCCCACGACCCGTTGGAGAGCGGCTTGGCCCAGACCTGCCCGCCGTTGGTGTAATTCGCGATACGATCGCCCGGAATCCCCAGCTGCAGCCAAGATTGGCCGAAGGTCAGTCTGTCATAGCACAGAGCGCACACGACACACATCGCACACATCGCACACGAACATACGCACACACGACACCGCACACGCACACACGCATTCAACACGTACCTTGTCCTGGTTGACGGCGATGGCCTCCTTGTTGAGGATGTGCTTCTTGTCGGACAGTACGCGCACGTCGGTGCCAACGATCAGCGGAGAGGCCCACAGGCACCAGAAGCTGAACTCGCTGATCTGCTCATTCTCCGACAGCCACCAGTAGCCCGGCATCAGGAAATCAGGGTCGTTCCTGAGCATGGCGTCAGTGTATATGCCGTGTGTGCCGTGCGTGCGTGTGCCGTGTGTGCCGTGCCGTGCGTGCGCTGCGTGTGCCGTGTGTGTACCAGCCGCCAGGACCAGCGTAGGAGGAGAGACCGGCCATGTGTTCGATGATGTTGGCGGTGCCCTGTCCCTGGCCGGGGTCTTGCTGGAACGGCGGCGTCCACCACACGGGGAGGTGGTCCGGGCCCACACGCCAGCTGTTGCCCACCTTCATGCCCCTGTCATGGTAGTGGTAGTAATCCACCACGGTGAGCAGCGCCTTAGGGACCAGCATGACCACAGGCTGACGCACCAGGTCCAGGGGTCGTAGCGACCCCACTCGCAGATGCTGAAGAAGATCGGACGCCCCGTCTTGTTCAATGCCTGGCTCATGTTGGTGTAGAGCTAGAAAGAGAAAAGCGAATGAAGAGAATGAAGAGAAGAACGAAGAAGAACGAAGAAGAACGAACAGCGTTAGTCTTCCGGGGCACGGAGGGAAGGGGGAGGGGGAGCCGAGAAGAGTTGAGCCAACCTCTTGGGCGGTAAAGCCGCTGGGCTCGTGGCACCAGTCCATCTTCACGTAGTCGAGACCTGGCCAGGCCAAACGAAATGCTCCATCAACAAAAATGTGATCAACACTTACAGGAATGCAACGTGCCAGCCACCGTACCCCACGACGCAAACACGCGGGCGTCCTGCTCGTAGAACGGCCAGCTGCGCACGCGATCGTACACGACACGCGCGAGATTGGTGAGTTGTGCACTGACGCAGGAAGGGGCGTTAGAGAACTGGCACAGGGTACCTGCCGGGCCGTCCCCCGCGGCAGGTGGTAGTGCCCACATCGGTGTACACGCCGAACAGCAGGCCGCGCGCATGGATGTAGTCCGTCAAGTTCTGAAAAAAAGGCAGGCCAAGCATCAGCCTCAGAGTGACCCACACACTGCACACGCACAATCGCACACGCCGCACACACTGCTCACAATCGCACACACGCACAACACAGTGCAGGCGCACGCGACCTTCATGCCGGAGGGAAAGCGCGAGGCGTCCGGGATGATGTTGTTCTGCGCGTCACGACCTCCTCCCCCTGTTTTTTCCCACCGCCACCGACCGAGCTTGCGTGCGTCAGCCAATCACGGCACCGAGGGGGTGATCCAAACAAATCGCCGCCTCGAGGAGGAGGGGAGGAGGCGCACAGCAGTCGTCGAGGACGATGTAGTTGTAGCCCAGGTCCTTGAGGCCGTTGGCGGCCATGGCGTCGGCGACTGAACGAATCTCCTGCTCGTTGCAGAAGTCGTCGTAGCACGGCAAGACGTCGTTCTCCGTGCACCAAGTCGACCAGCCTTTGCTCAAAAGTTGTCGGGCACAATACATACGAAGAAGATGAAGATGAAGAACAGTCAAAGAACGAAGACGGAAAGATGAAAAAAGTGAAGGTACCCATGGGCGGGAGGCGAGCCACGCCATTGTGGAGCGCGGCGGCCTCGAGGCGAAGCTGGGCCAGCACCACAAGCGCGAGGAAGACGCCCGACCACTTCATCACAGCCTCGAAAATAAGGGAGGGAATGATTAGCCAATGAGGCTGCAGTGTTAATGGAAGGAAATGGTTGTTGAAATGCAATTTCCTTCTTTTTCCAGGAACACGTGATTCTCATCTTGTGGCGATCATTCTGCAGTTCGCGAGATTTGGTGGTCTTCAACACCTCACCAAACACAACCGCGGATCCAGCGGATCGAGTTCGATACAAAGATTCGCTGCTGTTGGAGATGTCGCACTCAGATGAGAAATCATTCTCCGTAGCACGCACCCTCTTCACCGGCACGGTACGCATCCATGTCCCAAGCCTCTTTTCCTCATCTCTTGTACTTCTACAAATGCATCTTCAACTTCTGAAGATTGGCCAAGCCTCATCGTCAAGATTGGCCAACCCTCATCCTTTCGTCCCTCTACGCCGGTGTAGGTGTCTGGCATAGTCTGCAAGTTCGTGGAGCAGCCCTTCGACACCATCAAGGTGCGGGTGCAGGCCGGAACGAAGGTGATGTCGCCCAGCGGCGCGATGGTGCCCGAGTTCAACGGCCCGTGGGACTGCTTCGTCAAAACCCTCCGGCGCGAGGGCTTCACCGCCCTCTACAAGGTCGCGCGACCTTGCAATCACTTCACTTCACTTCAACACTCTCTTCAACTCAACCCCACTTTGTTGCTTACATGCGGCGTGTGCGTGTGCATGTGCGTGTGCGTATGCGTGTGCGTGTCATGTCGTGTGCGTGTGCGGTGGTGTGTGCGGTGTGATGGTGAGTGCAGGGTCTGCCGAGTCCGATGATAGGGTCGGCAATGGAGGTGGCATCGATGTTCGTGGTCTACAACGCGGCCAAGGAGGCGCTGATGGACCCCGAGACCCACCACGTCAGCCTTCCACGCGTCTGTCTCGCCGGCAGCATCGCCGGTAATCAACAACACGAACACACACACACACACACACACACACACACACACACACACACACACACACACACACACACATGAACACACACCAGAACACACCACCGCACACGCTCACACCGCACACACGCGCAGGCGTGGCGACGGCGACGTTCCTTACGCCGGTGGAGCTGATCAAGTGCCGCTTGCAAGTCCAGACCGGAGGCGAAGCCGGTCACGCGGCGGCCGGGGCTGCTGCTCGGGGGGCGACCCCGCCCGCGGCCTCGGCAATGTCGGCCGCGGCGGCGGGCGGCGCACAGCAGCAGCTGCGGTATCGAGGGACCATGCACTGCATCATGCACACCCTCAAGACCGAAGGAATCCCCGGGCTCTGGCGCGGTTGGTGGAGGTACGCACCATCATCAATCGGGCACTGCATGCAGCTACTCACTGTGTGCCGTGTGCGATATTGTGGGTGCGTGGGTGCGTGTTGTGTGTCGCGTGTGCGTGTGCGTGTGCGTGTGTGTAGCACATTCTTTCGGGAGTTGGTGGGTACGGCGCTGTGGTTCGGAACGTACGAGACCGTGTGCCGGACGCTAGCAGCGGACGCAGGCGACGCTTCTGATGTAACTCCCCTTCCGCCTCTGCACTCTCGTCACCTTGGCCTCTGACGGAGTGTGTCTTGTGCGTGCGCGTCTCACATTCCTTTGCAACGATGACAGGCTCCACCACTGATTCAGCTGCTGGCCGGCGGCTGTGCGGGGTGCATATACTGGGGCGTGCCCTACGTACGGCCACACTCGTCTTCTCGCACTCCTGAAAAGCAAGACTCATGGCCCACACACACACACACGCACTACGCGCACGACACACACACACACACACACGCACGCACGCACGCACGAAATGCACACACCGCACAGCCGATGGACACGGTGAAGAGTCGAATCCAGATCAAGCAGGCCACCGAGCAGACCTCCATCTTCAAGATGTTCGTTGAGGTGCTCAAGGAGGAGGGAGTCAGAGGACTCTACCGGGGTACCTGCCATCCCTCGCTGTGTCGTGTGTGTGTTGTGTCGTGTGTCGTGTGTGTGTGCGTGCGCGCGGCGTGCGTCGTGTGTCAAACACTGACCATGCGCGGTTATTTATTCAGGGATTGGACCGACGATGATGCGCGCGATCCCAGGATCGGCCGTGGCGCTCTTCACCTACGAACGGTCCTCACGATTTTTGGATTGGCTCAAGGAGGAGAAGCCACACCTTTGTCCCTCCTTCTTCTAACCTCTTCTTCACCATCATCATCATCATCACCAACATCATCACCATCATCTACTTCGTCTTCTCCATCTTCATGGTGGGTGTGCTCCAAGGGTTGATGTTGTGATTGTGGTGATGAGGATGAAGGTGGTGACCACCACATGGCAAGTGCTATCAGGAGAGGGGACCGCCGGTGCGCTGTCTCTCGAGGAAGTAGTTGCCGAGGGAGACCATGACGGGGAAGATCGGGTCGAACGCGCTGTCGCCCCGCTGGTTGACCTTGTTGGCGTAGGCGTCGAGCGAGGCCTTGATCAGCTTCCACACCTCGGCCTCCTGCTGCTCGTCCAGCCACTTGCTGTACTTGGCAATG